TTCCCTGTGTCCATCCCTCCATGCACTCCTGCCCCCTGAGCTGTCTCCCTGTGCATTCGTAGCCCTTCTTTCTCCCATGTTTGCTCTCTCCAAGGAGAGTATCTACTTGAGGTAAATGTTCAACTCATATGCCTGTCTTTTGTTTGTTAAAGCCACCCATTTGTGGTATCTTCCATTAGAGCGGCACTAGGTAGCCAAAACAAAACCAGAAAACCAAACCCACTTCCACAGAGTTCATTCTGATTCATAGTCACCTACAGGATAGGGTAGAAATGTCCCCATAGAGTTTCCAAAGTTGTAAATCTTCCATTAAAAAAAAAAAAAAGTTTTCATTATTATTTTGGGAAAAGTTTACAGGGTGAGTCAGTTTTCCATTCAACAGTTCACACACGTCTGTTTCATGACATTGACAGCAATCCCCACAATGTAACAGCTCTCTTCCCCCTTCCTCTTTGTGTTCCTTTCCATTCACCTTTCTAGCCCTTCCTGCCTTCTGAGCTTCATCCCTGGGCAAACGCTGCCCTTTCCCTCTTGTGTGGTTGGTTGTTCCAGGACACGCGTATCTCCTTGGTGTTATTGTTCACCTTATAGGCCTGTCTATTTTGTTGTTGTTGTTGTTGCTATTAATTGTATTGTGCTGTGGGTGCAAATTACAAAGCAAATTGTTTTACTGATCGATAGAGTCTAGTGGAGCCCCCGAGACTATGGCCCTGGGTTACTGTTTGGGCCTAGAAAAGGACTAATGTCCATGGGTTGGCTCTCAGCCCAATAGTAGCCCAAGACCTACATGCAGAACACCTATCCCAGGGCAATGCACCCACCTACCCTAGGAAGATGCTCCCCTGAGATCAGTCAGCCATGAGACACCAGAGAGGCAGCATTCACATAGAGGGAAAGCTGGACAGACAGGAATGTGTAGTTAACAAGGGCACAGGGCGGGGATGGTCACAGGGAAGAGAGTTTTTCATGGTTGTGGATGGTAATCAGGGTGTGGAATCCAATGTGCATGGACTGTTGAATGTAAAACACCCCCTCCCACCACACACACCCCCTGCCATCACACGCACACCCTCCCACCACACAATCCCTCCGTCATACAAACACCCCTGCCCCCACACACCCCGTCCTGTCACACATTCACCCTCCCATCACACACACACCCGTCATATACAACCGTCCCCACACACACCGTTCCCCACACATACCCCTCCCATCACACACACCCCTCCCGTCACACACCCTCTCCCGTCACACACACTGCTTACCTTCACACACCCTCTCCCGTCACACACACACCCCTCCCGTCACACACCCCCTCCCACCACACACACACCCTGCCATCACACGCACACCCTCCCACCACACAATCCCTCCGTCATACAAACACCCCTGCCCCCACACACCCCGTCCTGTCACACATTCACCCCTCCCATCACACACATACCCGTCACGTACAACCGTCCCCACACACACCGTTCCCCACACATACCCCTCCCATCACACACACTCCAACCCGTACACACCCTCTCCCATCACACACACCGCTTACCTTCACACAACCTCTCCCGTCACACACACCGCTTACCTTCACACACCCTCTCCCGTCACACACACACCCCTTCCGTCACACACACCCCTCCTCCACACTTCGCCTCCTGACACACATACCCCTCCCGTTACACACCCCTCCCCACACACACCCCCTCCCATCACAAACACCCGCTGCATCACACACACCCTGCCTGTCACACACAACTTCCCACCACACACACACCCTCCCGTCACACACACTCCCTCCCACCCTACAATCCCTCTCGCCCCACTCCCCCTCCGACACACACACACCTCCCACACATACCCCATCCTGTCACACCCGTCGCCACACACACCCGTCCCCACACACACCCTCTCCCATCACGCACAACCCTCCCGTCACACAGACCCCTCCCATCATACACCCCCTCCCATCACACATACTGCTTACTTTCACACACCCCTTCCCGTCACACATACACCCTTCCCATCACACACACCCCTCCATCCACACATTGTCTCCCAACACACACCCCCCTCCCGTCACATGCACCTCTCCCCCCACACATCCCCTTCCAATACACACCATCCTCCTGTCACACACACACCCCTCCTCACACACGTCCCCTCCTGTCACACACAGTGCCCTCTCCACACACCCTGTCCTGTCACACACAACCCTCCCATCAAACATACCCTCCCATCACACACACCCCTCCTGTCACACACACCCTCCTACCACACACACACCCTCCCATCACACACAACCCTCCCATCACATACACCCCTCCTGTCACACACCC